GAAGGGAAGGAGAGGGAGAAGAGGAGTGCAGGGAGGGAGATGGAGAGGGTAAGAGTGCAGGAGGAAAAGGGAGGAGGCGGATGTAAGCACTGGAAAATAAATAGGACTTTGTGACAGACGGGGGGCAGTGAGTGAAAACAGGGGGAGTACAGAGGAGTACAGAGGAGTACAGAGGAGTACAGAGGAGTACAGAGGAGTACAGAGGAGCACAGAGGAATACATGCAGGGAAGCGAAGGTGGGTGGGCGAGCACAGATTGTTGTTGGGCTCTTATCAAGTCCCACAGCTGTTCGTTTCCGCTCACTCACTTCTTCATCAGGGCCTGTAACAGCATTAAGAAAAACACTTTACACTTAGCCTATAAAAAAGAATCCCTTAGCGCTCACTTCTTCAACAAGGCTTGCATCTTGCCATTGTAGTGAGTCACCGCGTCTGTGTCATAGCCCTGCACACAACCAAGAGGGAAGGGGGGAGCGGGAGAGTAAGTAGGGGGGAAGAGAGAGAACGGGGAGAACAGGGAGGTCGGAGAGAGGGGGAGGATAGAGCTTAAGGCTTGGGGCTTGCATCGAGACATGATAGCGAATCACAACCTTCGTTTCACTCAAAAGCCTTGGGGATCAACCTTCTTGGTTGACTAAAAAATCACCTGGGTTTTAATTCCCCGCTGTTAATTTGGTCATTATAAGCATGCGGCTATTGATGTCCACACAGTGATGGGAGGATGAAAGGTGATGGGAGGATGAAAGGTGATGGGAGGATGATAGGTGATGGGAGGATGAAAGGTGATGGGAGGATGAAAGGTGATGGGAGGATGAAAGGTGATGGGAGGATGATAGGTGATGGGAGGATGATAGGTGATGGGAGGATGATAGGTGATGGGAGAACCTAAGGTGAGAGTGGGGACTGCAAATGTGAAGGAGAGAGCCAGCTACGATGTGGTTGAGTGTGACGCATCCACGACCGTTGCACAAGTAGTGGGGGAGGTAGACATAACTAAGACCTTTAGAGCCTATGATGCTCGTGTAATGCTGAACTTGCAATCCTCGTCCTGATTCTCTCGTCTCACACCAACCTCGACCTATCGCTATCTCCTTGTAACAAGTCGGCCCGATCATGATATATATTTGTTTAATGCCTGGTGCGGAGGGTGGCCTAAGATATCAGTGAGGAGGGCTGTCAGGCCTTCGGGTTGTATCAACATAGGACGCACGTGTAATGAGTCGATTTTTGAGTCGACTCAAAAATCGACTCATTACGCACGGGTTGCATCAGCATAGGACGCACATCACCTTGACAAAGAATAACAAGATCTATGTCCTAGGTGAGCTGACGATTGTGGACCATGATTTTTTCGCAACGCCGTGCTCGCACAAAGCTCACAATCACGAGATCACTTGAAACTTTGTTCATATTATTATTCGACATGGTGATGTACGTCCTTTGCTGATACAACCCAAAGGCCTTACAGTCCTCTCACAAACATCGCTAGCCACCTTCTGCACTAGAGATGAAAACAACAAGCAGGCACGGCTCTATTACATCGAAACAATGAGAGGTCGAGGTTGGTGCGAGACGAGAATCACAACGGAACTCGCAAATCCAGCATTTCAAGAGCACTAAGGCTCGAGACAAGCTATGCCTACCTCCACTACATGTGCAACGATCACGGATGCGCACAATAATTCAGCTCATAGTTTTCAAGTCAAGGGAGATTACTGCAAAGGGGACTCAGAAGCCTCGGGTTTGATTTTTGCACCTCCATTGAATTTGTGACCGTATCCACATGTTTCTTCTTAGACAACTACAAAATTACCAAGGTTCGATTCCCCCACCATAAAATTGGTAATGGTATAAATTCTGGCTTTCGGTGTCCAAACGGTGATGGGAGGGCGAAAGGTGAGGAAGCGACCAATTTGATCAGCCCTTGGAGCTTCATATGGGCCAGTAGAGTGGTTGGGTGCGACTTACCACCTAGGAACGAGATGCAAGATTATTGCAATGGTAGGGAGTGGTAAGGAGTGGTAGGGGGTGGTAGGGCGTGGTAGGGTATGGTAAGGCGTGACTCACCGCCGCTTTGACTTTGTTGAGCAGCCGCTCCATCTCCGGTTTGATGAGCTGATGCCAGATGGAGGCAGGAGGGATGGGTGGGATCAGAGAAGAAACAACAGAGGTTTAAGGAAGATTTAGAGATGATCAAACCAAGCCAGGAAAATGGAAAATCTCACAAGGGGACGAGACGACTATTTATTAGATTAAAAAAAGAACGAGAACTGGATTAATGGAGATTTTATATCATGTTACAGTGCCGGAAGTACTGTACTGTACCCTCTAGGATACGTCTGAGTTCAAGCGGCACCGGTGATCGTATAAAGATGTTGTGCATGCAACAAACCAAATAAGGCATGTAACAGTACACCCTACCATCAGGACATACCGCCACAATTACTTCACATGCCACCGTCTGGACTCACCACCGTCTGGACTCACCACCGTCAAAGGGAGGGTACCAGAGTGACCCACTGCCATCTTGACCGTTGATCTGACTTGGTAGATGAACGCCGGCAACAGGACGAGCAGATCTTGCTGTTTTTCACAGCCAATGCTGGCTTAACCACGCAGCTCCACCAACCCCACCATTACTCACCGTCATCGAGGGGAGGATAGAGTGACTCACCGCCATCTTGACCGTTGATCTGACTTGGTAGATGAACGCCGGCAGCAGGACGAGCCTGATTCCCACTGTAGCCGCTGCTATGGAGAGCCACCTGTGATTGTAACGAGAAGTTGCAATAGAGGAGAGTGAGTATATTGACAAGATACTGTAGATAATGCAGGCAGCAGGAGCAGCAGCCTCTGCCCCCACTGTGGCAGCTGCTATGGAGAGCCACCTGAGGAACGGGTGTGATTATAATGAGGAGATTGCAACAGCAGAGTGTGAGGGTAACGAGATGACACTATAAGTGAATGCAGGCAGCACGCAGTGCCTGATGCTCACTGTTGCTGCTGCTAGGGACAGCCACCTGTGACTATAACGAGAAAGATGCAACAGCGGGTAAACCGTAAAACCAGGTCAGGGTGTGAGGATCAGGGCACACACTCCCGAACGGATGGCAAGCCACCCACCTACCATGACAGTTAGGGTTTCGGGTATGCAAAACCCCCATGGCATGCACAACCCCCCATGGCATGCACAACCCCCCATGGCATGCACAACCCCCCATGGCATGCACAACCCCCCATGGCATGCAAAACCCCCCATGGCATGCAAAACCCCCCATGGCATGCACAACCCCCCATGGCATGCACAACCCCCCATGGCATGCACAACCCCCCATGGCATGCACAACCCCCCATGGCATGCACAACCCCCCATGGCATGCACAACCCCCCATGGCATGCACAACCCCCCATGGCATGCACAACCCCCCATGGCATGCACAACCCCCCATGGCATGCACAACCCCCCATGGCATGCACAACCCCCCATGGCATGCACAACCCCCCATGGCATGCAAAACCCCCCATGGCATGCAAAACCCCCCATGGCATGCACAACCCCCCATGGCATGCACAACCCCCCATGGCATGCAAAACCCCCCACGGCATGCAAAACCCCCCCATGGCATGCAAAACCCCCCATGGCATGCAAAACCACCTTTCATGCAAAACCCGCTGCAGGGTAAACCCCCCAAGGCATGCACAACCCCATGAACAGGACCCGAAACCCCTGCACGTGGGTAAGCCACGTGGCAAAACATAACCATATGCCCAACACAGACCATATGACACGTCACCTACCACGGCAGGCCTGCCACGTCATGCACTGCGCCAATCAGCTGCTGCAACATGGCGATGGGCGCCGAGCAGTGCGCCGCCGCCGCTGCCAGCTCAGACGCCAGCGTCACCCCCACGTCCGACGTGGCAGCACCGATGACGCCAGCAGCGCCTTCGCCCAGCACAGCACCGCTGACGTCAGCACCGGAGGGAGGCAGCACGTCAGTCAAAAAAGATTCGCCACTGGTTGAAATCTGACTGCCGCTGGTATTATAGCTGCCGCTGCCGTCGTTAATGTCGCTAGGGCCGCGACTAGCGCCAGAGGCTTCGCTATTCGGGTAGAGGGCGGAGGAGTGAAATCCGGCGGCTGAGAAGGCGAGGTTTCTAGATGCACCATGCGAGGAGTGAAATCCAGCACCATGCGACGCGGAGCGGAAGCCGCCGGAGGGATGTGCGGAGGTGAGGGGGGAGGTAAAGGGAGCGGAGCGGAAAGGGACGGGGTGAGGCGAGGCGGACGGGGAACTGGCGAAGCGGAAAGGAGCGGGCGGAGAGACGGGGGAGGCGGAAGACGGGAGCGCGGAAAAGCGGAAATGCGGGGAGGGTGATGATTGGAAGGCGGACGTCGCGTCGGGTTCCCCGTCGGAATCTGACGGAGAAAAGCCTAATACACTCTTGGGAACGACGGGGAGGCCTAATAATTGACGAGCTAAGACGTCGGGAGATGCAGCATTCGAATCTGAACGGTCACGATCGGCGATCTGCTGCTGACGTGGATTGTCCAACTCGGCTGCGCTCGTTTCCTCCCATTCGCGGTCACGGCATCCGACGCTAAAAAACGAATCGGATCTGATCGTGCTCGCAACGCCGACGCGATACCACCTATCCCATCCGGACGGTCCAGATCCACCGAAGAGCCCGACTCCGTCATCACAGCCGTTGATCCTAGTGGTGGAGCAACCACTGCGAAAGCCGGCGCTGCTAGCACTAGTGCTACCAGCCCCACCAGCGCAGGCAGTGCTTTCCGAACGGATCACCCGATTCCAGACTCCTACGGTCTCACCGCCATGGCGGATATCGCGGCGCGATCCACGGCGGCAGAGCCGCTGCAGAAGCTGGAACCGCGTCATAGGAGTCGGAATGCGTTCCAGTTTCCAGGCTTGCCGTGTTTTGAGAGAGGGCTGATTCGTTAGTGACTACTGCGATGCCGCTACGATAGGGATGGAGTGTTCCGTAATTTAACATCCAGTAGTACAATACATGTAGTTAATAACAAATAATTCTTCATAAAAATAAGCACACCGGGTAACTTCCGATTATGGTAGCACGACCATAATAATGACCCAACGCTGCTAGCTCTTTCCATGGGACGGAAGTCGTAGATCCGAAGCATCACAGACAAAGCCTAGTCCGTTCATTAGGTGCTCCAAGCGGGACGGGTTGGTCAGGTAGAGAAAGCCTATCTGAGAGGAGGTAGAGAAATCACAAAAAGCAACACAAGAGAAGAAATGGTTACAAAACACAACACAAGGAGATGCACAATCCATGGCAGCATTTCACAACAAGCATTTAGATACCCACAAGTACCGTATTAGTGCTAGTTGTAGCACATGTGTTCCATGTGGCATGACACCAGAGTCACACTCACGAGTGTTTCTAGCACAGTAGCGTTGGCATAAACAGTGGATCCATCCCTCCCCTTAATGTATGAAGATGCAAAGTGTAGGATTTACGATGATCAACAACTCACAAGTGTTTCTAGCGCAGTAGCGTTGGCATAAACTGTGGATCCGGCTCTCCCCTTGGCCTTGCGAGCACCTGTTGAGGCGTTGCGCCCCCACCGCACCACATCCCTGCAGCATGTAGGGGCGTTACATGGTTACACAACAATGACTCAAAAGGCACCTGCGGAGGTGTTGCGCCCCCACTGTACCACATCCCTGCATGCATACACGCACGCACGTACAGCCACAGATGCAGAAGTGCACAAGCAAGTACCTTTCGTCCTCTGTGAGGGTCTTTGTGTTGATAAGTCGCCGCAACAAGGCATCCTGCAACCACACACGCACATTCAGGTGACACTGTATCTCTCAGAGAAGAAAAATGAGGCATCTCAAAACCATTTTTCGTTTTAAAGAATCTGAAACATGGATCCACAAACAGAAACTAGCACGTGTGCAACTCTCACGTGCACCCATGCATGTGTGCATGCTGATCTCTAAGCTTATGTGGTTGTGCGCGCACGTGCATGTGTGTGTGCATGTGTGTGTCTGTCTGCGTGACGGCAAACATGCACGTCTGTGTGTCTGAGCCTCTCTAACTCTCTCCTGCGCCTCACCTCGGACAATCGCCCTGACTCGTTGGCAGTATGTGGCAACAGCAGATGGCAAATGTGGGTGTGGGAGTGCATGTTTGTATGTTTGTATGCGTGTGTGTGAGTGTGTGAGTGAACACGCACGTATGTGTGTGTGAGGGCACGCTCACCTGGGCCTCACAGCAGACAACAGCCGTGACTCGTTGGCAGTACGTGGCAATAGCAGATGGCGGGTTCAGGAAGTGACGCCTCGCATATAGCTGGGATGAAGAATCAGGGGGAGGGGAGTTGGAGGGAGTTGGGGGGAGGAGAGTTTGGGGGAGGACGAAAGAGCGGAGTGAACGGGAGGGCTATATCATGAATCCAATGTCGCAGCAGCGGGTGGTGGGTTCAAGACGCGAGGCCTCGCATATAGCTGAGAAAAACGGGGAGAGAAGAGAGCAAGGAAACAGCAAGTGCTCCAAAAGTCGCAACTTGTGGTCCATCCCCGATGTACGTCAGCACGGCTGCATCATGAGTCGTTCGGGCATGGTAAAACATTATGTAACGTCTCAGAAAGCGTTTGTTTTTTCGCGAAAACTACCTGAATACCGACGTCTCACCTCATAGATTCCATCGCCGATATACGCCAGCATGGCAGCATTATGCGTCGCTCGAGGCCTGGGCACGTCTGGCGGCGGAGGGAGCCAAACCCTAGGATCCGACACATCCAACGGCTGAGAAGCGGATGCGGAATCATCCAACGGCTGCGACGCAGCGCTCGAGATCAGCCGCTGGTTCACGTCTGATGCTGTCGAGATTTTGCGCCCGTTGTTAGGAGACTCAACACTAGTCACGTAGTCGGCTCCTGAATCAGTGGTCGCCTGCTTCTCCGACGCTGCCTGCTTTTTCTTTCTTCTGCGAACCCCCCCAACCCCATTATTCCCCACTGCTTCAGCTGATCCTGATTGGACAGATTCTGATTGGTCTGATCCTGATTGAACAGATTCTGATCGGGCCCCAATTCCTGCCGAGCCTACTATCACACGACTCCCGGCAGCTGCTGGTCTGTTTGCATTGCCTTCCGCCAGACCAGAAGTGGCATTTCCAGCAGCATCCCTTGTGGCACTTCGGACTGGAGTCGCTTCTGCGGGCTGCTGCCTCCCTTGCGAAAGATGAAATTCAGTGGGATTAGCGAGATTTGGTTCAAGTACCGCATGCTCAGTGATTATAGCGGATCCGTCTGTGACGGATCTTTCTACATCGTGTTTTTTCGAAGGCGGAGGGCCCCACGGCCATGATTGAGCCCGGGGAGCCTGGACGATCGAGATGAATCCTCGTGATTTGGCCTCAGTTTCTGCCTGAACCCACGTCAAAGGAGCGAGGTTAGGCGTAGAGCTAAAGCCGGCTTTGTGTGCAATGCGTTTACACGTGGAGGGAACGCTCGAATGCGAAGGTAGGTTCAACGCGTGAAGCATCTCGCTGATGTCGATCAAAAGAGGAGATACTGAGCGCGGAGGTTGGTGACCTGATTGTTAGCCTCTCTCAGCCTTGCAATGCAAATTGTAGTTCTAGGGCATTTTCGAGAACGGTTTAGTAGGCTGATTCGGGAGGTGTTTGTTGAACGGCTATAATGTTGGTACGGATTCTTGCGAAAAGCGTATCGTTTTCCGAACACTTCGTGTCAGGTTGAGGTCGCCGTCAGCCTGTCACCGTGTGTGTGATAGCCCTGACGAAATGTTCCGGAATCGACTTCGCTTCAGCAACAAGTCTGTTAAACCCTGCCTTCGAGGTTTGAGTTCTCCTGTTCGTGTCCTGCTTCGGAAGACACTGTTCGGTCACAGGCGATGATGGGTGGTTGCCACATTTGGGCCCAGCCAAACGGCTCTCTGGCTTTCCCACCAGCTTCCCGAACCAACGATTTTGACGGCACCGCGAATTCCAGGTACGGAATTCACACGAGCCACACCCACAGGCCGTGGTTAGGACGGCATGGCATGGCATACCTAGCCTCCATCTCCACCATCCTGCCCATTCAATCTGCCTTCCTGCAGATTGTCAAATGATTTCCGTCATGTACATTTGACACCCTTCCGTCAGTATTGACATCCTCCCGTCAGTATTGACATCCTCCCGTCAGTATTTGACATCCTTGGATCACTTTCCACGGCTATAAATTCGGTGAGGACAAACGGCTAACAGCAAGGAGTCAGAATAGCCGGTCAGCATGTTTCGCCATGGGATGATGATACACTCCGCTCCACTCATCTCTCCTTCCCTCCCTTGCTTCCTTACCTCCCTCCCTCTCCTCGTGAAACAGACCAATCACATTCACCGCCAACCATCCATCGCTTGTTCGTGAAGCAAGACATCAGGCAGAACAAACATCCTTCAAATACAGCCATCGCTTTGAAAGTGGAGACCAGGATATTCGTCGGAAGCTGTCAGCTAGCATCGTTCGCCTTTCATTCTTGGTGATACGGTTTTACAGTCTATTTAACTCTTGCTTGAGCAGGCTGTGCTTGCCATTTTGAGATTAGTCTTGAAGAGTTGCTGATATTCGTTCTCGAGATTCTTCGTCGATAATCATGTCTGCCCTTGTTTGCGGAAAGCGATCTGTTTTCGAGGAGAGCGTTTACGATCCGTCCTCTCCACTGACAAAAAGAACCAGACGCGGACGTCATGCATCCCCACTCAAGAGTCCATGGTCCGCAAATCCTTTCCAGCAGCCGCCAAGCCAGCAGCAGCAGCATCAGGGATTAGGAGGAGCTTTTGTCTCAGATCCGCGAATTGGGAATTCCAGCGGAGACGCTGAGACATTGCAGGATAGATCGAACCTGGAGGTTAGTCCAGCGCAGGCTGCGTCGATTAATCTAAGCAATCATGGGTGCACATCTGCGACTGTTTGCATGTCGACGGAAGCTGATGCACAGAAAGCAGCCGCAGATGAAGCGCAGAGAGCGGGATCGGAAGGTCTGACTGCGAAATGGGCCGACGTAGCAGTGCGGGAGATGATGACAGCTGCAAGCGTGGATGACGCTCGACAGAAGGCCTTACTTGTGCTGCAAGCTTTCGAGAAGGAGTCTATGGATGCTAAGCAGCAGGATCAATCTGCAGCGGTTCACGCGGAACAGGTACACATAGAGCGCGTTAACTTATACCTTCATTTTGTACAAACTGGGTTTTTTTTCTGAATGTTTTTTCCGTCTTGAGCGGAGTGTGGTTAAAGATGTCGTCTCTAATTATTTTTTTATCCCGATTGCGTCCTGGATCTTAATTTCCATGCGCAGGAACGTCGATCTGCGTCTGAACTTCAATTGCTACAGCAGCAGGTGGGCGTGTTGTGCAAGGAGAACCAGATTTTGAAGCGAGCAGTAGCGATTCAGCATGAGAAGCAGAAGGAGCACCAGGCTCAGAACGAGGAGAATGCGAGTTTGAGACAAGCTCTGGCGCAGTATCAAGAGCAAGTGCACAAGCTGGAGGTAAGCTTACTTACCAGCCATTCTCGTTTATGTTAATTGTTTGTCAGGCCGTCCAGGAACCTCCGATTTGCCTGGGGGGGTTTCAGAAGGCATTTCAAGAGTCTGTTTATTTTATAAGCGAACTGTCAAAGCTGTCTGACACTGATTTTGTTCAACCCCGGTCTTTGTTGCTGTGCAGGTTGCCAACTATGCTCTCAACCTGCACCTTCGCCAGGCTAACGATGCTGTGAATCATGCAGCTTTGTCTGGTCGCTTCCATCCGGATGTCTTCTAGGTCTTTTAGCACTCTGGGGCGTGCTCATGTGCTTGCTTTAATTCATCTATGTCAAGTAGGCCCATGGCAGTGTCTCGTCTCAGTTGGAACAAGCTTCAACGCTGTTCGGAGATTGGTTCTGGTCACCAATGATAGTGGCCTTCAAAGCTGATGTCAAGTCGTTCAACTGTAGCCCTATTTAGAATTGGCAAGAAACTTCTCCATAGAGTTTTGAAGGGAAGTACGATTATCGTGGTAATCTTGAAATGGTTTTAATATGCTTCTAATGATTTTTTTCCATGTTTTCTCTCGCGAACACCAACTTGGCTTTGCGGTTGTAACGAGTACGGAAGTGGAGCCTCCTCCCAACTCAATTCTAGAAAGGCGGCCTGACAGCGATTGTCACTCGTCAGTCACGCTGGGAGGCGCATCAGGCGAGATTCTTGTTTCCGCCATTGGAGGCTCTCCGCAGTGATTGATGCCTTCCGTGACCTCGCAAAGCCAATAACAGGAAGAGTTTTAGCTAAGGTCGGTATATTTTGCCAGTCTCTAAGCTGTGCTGTATCAAAGAGCAAGGCACCGTAGTATTTTGTCGCACGATACGAACAGAATTCGAGCAGCGACTTCGGAAATTCTACAGTCCCCTGTCCCGACAAGATGATATTTTTTTCAGGGCGCCTCTAATCCCGTCGAAGAGTCAGCATAACTAGTAGTTTTTTTCGGCGGAGTAAAAGGTAGCGACGAGTTTGTATGATATAGGAGCCTTAGAAGGATCTCTGCTTGTGATCGCTTTTGGTCTTAGCGTGTATCGGATTCTAAGGAGACAGGCGGACCGTGAAGGACCATAATAAACGTTAAAGCCGTGGTGAGATCAGCCGCTGGTAACCAGGAATGTAACCTCGACAAGAAATAAGACGCTAAATCGGAGACGGTGGTCAGAACGGGCTGGCTACGGGTAACGGGAGTCGAGACTGTTTGTATTGAGTCGACTCATAACGCACCCAGAAGGCGTTCAGAAAAGATTGGCTACGGGTGGCGGGAGCCGAGACTGTTTTTAAACGTCCAAAGGAAATAGGAGTTGCTGCCGGCCAAGACAGGGCAGGGATTTGAGAAGACCTGAGAGTTCCAGGCGATGGCGACAGCTGAACAGTAACAGGAGGTGGCGAAGGATACAGTGTTACAGGCGATGGCGTAGGCTAAACAGTAACAGGGGCTGGCGAACGCTATAGAGTAACAGGCGATGGCGACGGTAAAACCGGAGCCTGAGGAGGAGGAGGGGTTGCGGATGGAGGCATGGTGGGGAGAGGAAGGGGAGGGGGAGTCGAGTGAGGAAGTGGTGATTGAGGAGGAATATGTGGACGAGGAAGAGGGGGAGGTGGAGGAGGAGGAAGAGGAGGAGGAAGAGGAGGAGGAAGAGGAGGAGGGAGAAGAGGAGGAGGAAGAGGAGGAGGAGGGAGAGGAGGAGGGGGAGGAGGGGGAAGAGGGGGAAGAGGAGGTGGAGGAGGAGGGGGAAGAGGAGGTGGAGGAGGGGGTGGGGGAGTGGAAGAGGGAGGACGTTGGGGGGATTCCTGTGAAGTCAAAAAGGGTACCAGTTGAACTCAATGCGGGTTTTCATCATGAGGAGGCGAGGGGAAGTCTTGGGAAGGAGGCCGGAGACTCTGGGGGGAAGGCTGGGGCACTGGGGGAAAGGCTGGGGGCACTGGGGGAAAGGCTGGGGTCACTGGGAGCACTGGGGGGAAGGCTGGGGGCACTGGGGGAAAGGCTGGGGGCGCTGGGGGAGGGACAGATGAAGACGCTGGGGGCGTTAAAGGAGGGGAGGCTATGGCAGCCGCTACTGCTACTAGGCGGGGATTGACGAGTGCCCATACAGGGCTGGGAGTGCTGGGGATTCCAGGCAGTGCTGCCAGGGAGGGTGTGGCGATGGCATGCACGGGGCTGGGAGCGCTGGGGATTGCAGGCATGGCGCAGAGCGCAAGGGCCGGCGCTAGGGGCACTGCTGCTAGGGGCCCAGTGTCCGCTTCAGGCGTGGAAGTGAGTGCCAGGGCCGGTGCTAGAGCTGGAGCTACGCGCGTCGCTTCTTCGGAGATGCCTCTGGAGCCGTCTGCAGTCGAGGAGGAGAACAAACGGGCTGGTGCTTTGGGTGTAGGAGCGCCAACGGATTCATATTCAGGTGGTGAGGTGATTGTGAAGCAGCAGGGAGTGGAGGAAGAGAGGAAGGACTCTGTTGGGTTGAGTGAAAACTCCTTGGCATGCGTGGGGGGCGACAGAGCGGCTGGTGCTAGGGGGTTAGCGCCAACGGATGCAGGTAGTGGGGTGATTGTGAAGCAGGAGGGAGTGGAGGAAGAGGGGAGGGGTTGTTTTGGGTTGAGTGGGAATTCACCAGGGAGGGCGGGAGCAGGAGGAGGACGCAGCGGACTAAGGGGGGTCCGTGTGAAGGGGGAGGCAGTGGAGGTAGGGGAGGAGGGAGCAAGGAGTGCTGCTGCTGCGCGTGATGGTGAAGGGAGGGGGGTCATGGATCGGGCGATAGGGGTTTTGGAGCAGAGTCAAAGGCCACGGGCGGTGTGGGTGAAGGAGGAGGCAGTGGAGGGAGGGGAGGAGGGAGTGGGGAGTGCTGCAGCTCCTCCTGTGGTAACTGCATCGGGTGGTGGTGCTGCTGCTGCTGCTGTAACCAGACCAGGAGCTTCTGCTGCTGATGTGGTAACTGCAACGAGTGCTACTGCTGCTCGTGTGGTGACCACATCAGGTGCTGCTGCTGCTGCTGCTGCTGCTGCTGCTGCGTCCGGTTCTGGGCGTGGTGCAACCGAGTCAAATGCTGCTCAAACGCGCATTGGAAGCTGTAGAGGGGATGCCAGTAACGTGTATGCAATTGCTGCAGGTACGAACGTCACTACAGCTCTGGGTGTGCTTGGGGTTGTGAGAGCGGTGGAGAGCGGAGGAGCAACGCATTTGCCTGCTGCGCCGACTGACGGGAGGCACATGTGTGGCGTCTTACGGGGAGGCGATTCCGAGGGGGGGCAGGCGTGTGGTGTCTCACGGGGAGGCAATTCCGAGGGGAGGCCAACGTGTGGCTCCACTCGAGGAGGGAGAGTGGTGAGAGGAGAGGGTGGTGGTGGGCGGGTTAAGGAAGAACCCTCGGTCAACCTTGGAAGAAAGGAAGGGGCAACGCGAGGAGGGCGTACACAAGGGGGGGCTACACGAGGGGCCATACATTTGCCTGCAGAGGCGACTGAGGGGAGGCGAACGCGTGGTGCCATGCGAGGAGGGGGTATGGCGAGAGGATGGGGCGACAGTGGGAGGGTTAAGGAGGAGCCCTTGGAGGTGCATGGCGGTGGGGGGCGGTGAGGGAATTAGCGAGGGGGGAAAAGAGGGAAGAAGTGAGCGAAAGGGAGTTGATTGTGCTGGATGATGATGCTGATGATGATACAGAGGAGGGCAGCGAGGAGGGGTGCAAGGAGGATAAGGGGGTGGGGAGGGAGATTGCGGAAGGGGAGGCGATGGGAGAGGAGGAGGAGGAAGAGGGAGAAGTGGGGGAAGAGGGGGAAGAGGAGGAGGCGGGAGGAGTGGAGGAAGAAGAGGAAGGAGAGGTGAGTGCCAGCGAGGGAGATATGGAGGTAGGGATCAATGAACAGGAGGCAGGGGAAGAGGGAGAGGAGGCGGAGGAGGAAGAGGAAAGAGATGAGGAGGGGGAAGAGGAAGGAGAAGTACAAGTGGAGGGAGAGGAGGGAGAGGAGGGAGAGGAGGGAGAGGAGGGAGAGAAGGGAGAGGTGGGAGAGGAGGGAGAGAAGGGAGAGGAAGGAGAGGAGGGAGAGGAGGGAGAGAAGGGAGAGGTGGGAGAGGAGGGAGAGGAGGGAGAGGAGGGAGAGGAGGGAGAGGAGGGAGAGGAGGGAGAGGAGGGAGAGGTGGGAGAGGTGGGAGAGGAGGGAGAGGTGGGAGAGGAGGGAGAGGAGGGAGAGGTGGGAGAGGAGGGAGAGGAGGGAAAGGAGGGAGAGGAGGGAGAGGAGGGAAAGGGAGAGGAGGGAGAGGAGGGAGAGGAGGGAGAGGAGGGAAAGGGAGAGGAGGGAAAGGAGGGAGAGGAGGGAAAGGGAGAGGAGGGAGAGGAGGGGACAGCAACGGAGGGGACAGTAGAGGAGGGGGCTGTAGAGAAGGGGGCAGTACAGGAGGGGGCAGTACAGGAGGAGTCAACAAGGCAGGGGAAAGAAAGATGGGAGGCAGTAGCAGCCGAAATCGGAGCACCTGAAATCGGAGCACCTGAAATTGGGGCACCTGAAATTGGGGCACCTGAAATTGGAGCACCTGAAATTGGAGCACCTGTGTCAGTAAGAGGGGAGTTGATCGATTGGGCAGAAACTCAGGATGCCGTAAGGGAGGGGGCAGCAATGGAGGGGGCAGTAACGGAGGGGGCAGTAGCACCCGAGATAGTAGCACCTGTGACTGTAAGGGAGGAGATGACAGTAATGCAGGACGCTGTAATGGAGCGGACAGCAAGGGAGGGGCAGTAACAGAGGGGCAGTAACGGAGGGGGAAGTAGCACCCGAGGTTGTAGCACCTGAGGCAGTAAGAGCGGAGACAGAAGCAGTGGAGGTAGGAGCAGGAGAGGCAGGAGCAGCGGAATCAAAAGCAGCAGAGTCAAACGCTGGAGAGACAGGAGCAGTGGAGACAGGAGAAGCAGGGGCAGGGGCAGCGAAGACAGACGCAGGAGAGGCAGAAGCAGGAGAGGCAGAAGCAGGAGAGGCAGAAGCAGGAGAGGCAGAAGCAGGAGAGGCAGAAGCAGGAGAGACAGAAGCAGGAGAGGAAGAAGCAGGAGAGACAGAAGCAGGAGAGGTAGAAGCAGGAGAGGCAGAAGCAGGAGAGGCAGAAGCAGGAGAGGCAGAAGCAGGAGAGGCAGCAGCAGGAGAGGCAGCAGCAGGAGAGGCAGAAGCAGGAGAGGCAGCAGCAGGAGAGGCAGCAGCAGGAGAGGCAGGAGCAGGAGAGGCAGGAGCAGCGGGGGGAAAAGCAGTGGAGACAAGAGCAGAAGGGACAAGAGCAGCAGAGACAGTAGTGGAGGAAAGAGGCACACCAACGCAGGCAAGCAGGGCACCGCCTAAGCTGGCCAAGGAGCTCAACTCTCTACTGGATGTTGCCTGCAAGACAGCGGAGCAGGCAGTTGCGGCTTGGGAAGTGGGGAGAGAAATTCACGAAGCAAAGGGAGCTGCACAAGGGGGCGAGCGAGCGGCGCAAGGGCGTGGCACACCGACGCAGACAAGCAGGGCACTGCCTAAGCTTGCCAAGGAGCTCAACTCTCTACTGGACGATGCCTGCAAGACAGCCGAGCAGGCAGTTGCGGTGTCCTCTCGGCATGCTCAAAGTGCTTTAATGGGCTCCTGGCAGGCAATGGGAGGGAGGGAGGAGGGGGGAGATGGGTTGGAGGAGGAGAGGGGAGAGGAGGGAAAGGGGAGGAGATGAAAGGGGAGGAGGTGAAAGGGGGGGAGGAGGAGGGGGAGGAAGACGTGGAGTGTGAGGATTACTGCTTTGTGTGCTATGATGGTGGTGACATGGTCACGTGCGAGAAGAGGTGAGATGAGGGATGAGAAAAGTGGTGAGATCAAATCAAACCTTGGAAATGAATGATTTGAAGTAATTTGGTAATTTGTTGTTTAACAGAGGCTATCCATCCATACATACCCTCACGAGGTGCCAAACTGTACTCTTCTCCCCAACTCCTTTCTCTGTTTCCCATCCGGGCTTTCAGGGGCTGCCCCAAGGCAAGGCGTACCAACACGAGGTACTGCTTTTGAGTCGACTCAAAACCAAACTGTACTGCTCTCCCCGCTTCCATTCTTTTTCCTGTCTGGTCTTTCAGGGGCTGCCCCAAGGCGTACCATCGGGAGTGCACTGGGCTGCCCGAAAGAGTTTTCGAGTCATCTGCCCCGTGGACTTGCAGTGAGTGATGCCGGGGATGTGATAAGGTAAGTGAAAGTTAAGTGATAAGGTAAGTGATACAGTGCGTGCGAGATAGTGCGACCTGCAGTGAGTGAATGATGCCGGGGATGCATATTTCAAACAGTGCATGCAGGGGCATGAGCAGCATGAGCGGAGCATCAGGGGCATGAGCGGAGCATCAGGGGCATGAGCGGAGCATCAGGGGCATGAGCGGGATAGAGGAGAAGTTTAGCATAGGCTTGAGCATAGACCCGACCCGACCCGACCCGACCCGACTTTGCCCCACCCGAAGTCGGGTGCGGGTCGGGTCGGGTTGGGTCAAGTCGGGTTTTAGGTCTGAAAAAACCAACCCGACCCGGGTTTGAAGGGTCGGGTTTAAAGAAACCCGATGTCGGGTCGGGTCGGTTCGGGTTATAGCAGGGCAGGAACGGGTTTTTGGACCCGTCAGTTTATTTTATGGGTTTGGGGTCACCCAAGTGGGTTTTATACTGTTTGGTGACCGTGTCTATGTGGCTTTGTTCATTGTGCTACCCTAACAAGTAGCATTTGGTTGTTGTGCGTTGTAAAACACAATTGCTAGCCTGATATGTGACTACACTGACGTCGTGTCTAACACTGAAGTTTGCCCTTATGTTGCAATTCTAGGGCTGCACAAATCACACACACAGCCCAACCATTTCGGCCAGCCATGAAACCTCCATCATCCCCCTCTCCCAAATGAGCCCATCACAACCCAAAGTCCTCACCCTCAATGCAAAGCTCCTTCAATGCCTGTGCAGCTGCCGGCCCCAAGAGCTGCTCACCCTGGTGCTCTGTCATCCATGACTTGATCGTCATGGATGCACGCACCTGGGAGGCGCTCAACCGGTGGCGCTGCCACGACACTATGCCTCGCCCCTGACTAAACGCTCTCTCGCTAGCAGCAGATGTGGCCGGGATCGCCAAGTAGTCGCGAGCCATGGCTCGTAGGCCAGGCAGGTCTACCCTGTTGTGCCAGAATTTTTGGGGGCAGCCAACCTTAAGCCGGGGCTCCGCTAGGTACCTCTCCAGCTCATCGGGTGCCTTGACCCCCGCCGATGCCGCCTGCTTGTCCATCCTGGCGAACAGCTCGTCCACCTGATCATCCCCCCCTCCCACAACCGAACTGCCGCCCTCGCCCCCGGCGCCCCACTCGACATGAACCGCTGTAGGTCTGCTGGTCCCCTCCGTCCCCTCTGTCTCCCCACCGCCCTGCAGCTTAGCCAAGTACCTGCCGAGACGCTTCCGAACCAGCTTCGCCACCCTCTCCTCGTCCAGCACAGGGACCACTCTGGCCGTGCCTGCAGTGTCGGTGGCCAGCTGCTCGTTCTCTGCCTCCCACCGCGGAAGCCTAAAGTAGTGCTTGTAGCGGGGGTCGAGCATGGTGGCCACTGCCAGCTCCTTCGCCACCCCGTACTCGTACTTCTTCAGGACCTCCAGCGTCTCCCATGCCATGTCTTTAATCACAGGCGTGGTCTTCTTGCTGTGGTACATCGTCTCGAGGTTGTCGATGAGCAGGTTGTACTGAGGGAATACCGCGGCGGCTGTTGGATACAGCGATCCCTCAGCCGCTGTGGTGAGGGAGTTGAACGGCTTAAGAAAGCTGCCACCTCCACAAGGGTCTCCCAATGGTCGTCCCTCAGGTGGTACTTGCTATGGGATTCTGCCTGCTTCTTGGAGGAGCTTCCGGGCTGGAGGGTTCAGCGGGGTGGACACGGGACAGGGGGGGGGGGGAAATAGGAGAGGAAGGACAGAGTGAGATGTGAGGGCATGCCTTTTTGGCATGCCATGAGCCATGTGTCATGCCATGCCATGCCATGCCATGCGTCATGCCATGCCATGCCATGCCATGCGTCATGCCATGCCATGTCATGTCATGCGTCATGCCATGGGTCATGCCATGCCATGTCATGTCATCCGTCATGCCATGCCATGCGTCATGCCATGCCATGCCATGTCATGCGTCATGCCATGCTATGTCATGCCATGCGTCATGCCATGCCATGTCATGCCATGCTATGTCATGCCATGCGTCATGCCATGCCATGTCATGCCATGCGTCATGCCATGCCATGCCATGCCATGCCATGCCATGCCATGCCATGTCATGCCATGCGTCATGCCATGCGTCATGCCATGCCATGTCATGTCATGCGTCATGCCATGCCATGCGTCATGCCATGCCATGCGTCATGCCATGCCATGTCATGTCATGTGCCATGCCATGCGTCATGCCATGCCATGCGCCATGCCATGCCATGCCATGCGCCATGCCATGCCATGCCATGCGCCATGCCATGCCATGCCATGCGCCATGCCATGCCATGCCATGCGCCATGCCATGCCATGCCATGTGCCATGCCATGCCATGCGCCATGCCATGCCATGCCATGCGCCATGCCATGCAATGCGCCATGTCATGCTTACCTCCGGCCGCGACAAGTACACCATGAGGGCCGTCTTGAGGTCGATAGCACGCCTCAGCATGTCATAGGTGGAGCCCCAACGAGTGGGGGTGTCAGTCATGAGTCGCAGCACCCCCACGCCTGGGCCGTCCGCAACTCGAAGCTGGTCCTCCTCAAAACGCTCCGAGCGCGTGACAGACCACCCAACATGCGTAGCAAGGTCCCTCAGACGCTTCAGCGGCTCGGCGACCGCCCCCACTGCTAATGCCCGTTGAACCGCCAGGTTCAAGATGTGCGCAAGGCACCTGTGGGAATGGGGGGGACAGGCGGTGGCGGAGGGGGGGGGAAGGAGGAGATAGAGGAGGACATAAGCTCGCAATTAATAGGCACGAGATAGAGTGGAAGCGCATGCAAGGAGCTCTCTTTCTAACACATTACCTGAAGTGCATGTTCTTCTGCAGGATTGCATTGGTGGTGCGGGCCCTCGGGTATGTCTTGTCGCCCGCCAGGACCTTGAAGGCCTTGGCATTGTTCTCGGCGTTGTCTGTCGTCACGCCGAAGACTTGGTCTAGCAGCTGCCAGTCGATGAGTACCTTCTCGAACATGTCAGCAATGACATCTCCTGTGTGGGACCCATGCAGCTGCTCAAACTCGAACGTTGCCTGGCGCAACTTGAAGTCCGAGGTGATGTAATGACCGGTGACCGCCATGAAGGCTTGCTTGCTGGGGCTGGTCCAGATGTCAGTCGTGAAGGAAACCTTCCCTGCTGCCCCGTCTCCAACCACCTCTTGCTGCAGCCACTCGCGTGCAGCATTCCCATGCGTCAACATGTCCCGCGCTAGTCGAAAACGACTGCCGAGCATGCCGGCAACTTGTGGGTTCAGCAGCGAGCAGAACCGCTGGAACTGTGGGTGGGATGGGTGTGGAAAGGCGGAGAGGACAGCAATGATTGAGTCATTGGATGGTTTGCGGACAAGGGAACACAACAAGTGTAGGCCAGCAAGCTCTACGAACTCTCCAATCCAAGCAGACAAGGGCTTACCGAAGGGCGCTCGACAAGACGGTACGCCAGGTCGGCGTCGGCAAACAGCTCGACGAGCGCCTGCCGCAGTCGTTGCAAGGACAAACGGGGAGCCATAAACTTGTGGAGGTTTGTCTGCCCGGACCCCGCCTCTGCCAGCGCCGCCGCAGCCCCAGCAGGAATCCTCGGCCAGCTGGCAGCATGTGGCCAAAGCTCCTTCTGGTGCGGCACCTCTGGGTACCCTTTAAGCGGAAACTCCAGTCCTGGCTTCTTCTTGGGGTCTGTGAAGAGACGGCGCCAGATCTGGAGGTGGGGCATGTGATAAAGACGAACATGCTTCCATGCGTTGCCAGTGCTGCTGCGCGCCTAGTACACAGTGGCCTTGCAGCACTTGCAAGAACGCTTGTGTGGATCATCTGTCTCCAAGAACATACCCTGCATGAGGCCTGGAGTCCTTGCCCCAGTGCCCTCCTCCTCGACCTCCTCGACCTCCTCGACCTCCTCCTCCTCCTCCTCCTCCTCCTCCTCCTCCTCCTCCTCCTCCTCCTCCTCCTCCTCCTCCTCCTCCTCCTCCTCCTCCTCCTCCTCCTCCTCCTCCTCCTCCTCCTCCTCCTCCTCCTCCTCCTCCTCCTCCTCCTCCTCCTCCTCCTCCTCCTCCTCCTCCTCCTCCTCCTCCTCCTCCTCCTCCTCCTCCTCCTCCTCCTCCTCCTCCTCCTCCTCCTCCCTCCTCCTCCTCCTCCTCCTCCTCCTCCTCCTCCTCCTCCTCCTCCTCCTCCTCCTCCTCCTCCTCCTCCTCCTCCTCCTCTCCTCCTCCTCCTCCTCCTCCTCCTCCTCCTCCTCCTCCTCCTCCTCCTCCTCCCCTCCTCCTCCTCCTCCTCCTCCTCCTCCTCCTCCTCCTCCTCCTCCTCCTCCTCCTCCTCCTCCTCCTCCTCCTCCTCCTCCTCCTCCTCCTCCTCCCTCCTCCTCCTCCTCCTCCTCCTCCTCCTCCTCCTCCTCCTCCTCCTCCTCCTCCTCCTCCTCCTCCTCCTCCTCCTCCTCCCTCCTCCTCCTCCTCCTCCTCCTCCTCCTCCTCCACCCCTCTAGCGCGCTTGCTCCACGCCCCACCAGCCCCTGCAGTTCCCCCTCCGCGTCCACGACCCCTAGCACGCAGCGGAATCTCCCCCCCTCGCCCCCGACCTCTACCTCCCGTCCCGTCCCCGCTCACTGCTTCACCACGCCCGCCACTCCCTTCAGACCCACCCCGCGCTCTTCCCCACCTCTTGCCGCGATCGCCTCTCTTGCTAGCGCCCGTCTTACTGGCGTCTCCCCCCTTAGCACCCCCAACCACACCCGGCTGCCCTCTGCCCTCCCCCTCTGCTGCGCCTGCTGGTGCGTCTGCCGCCTCTCCCTCGACACCCGCCCCTCTCCCACGCCCCCCCCCTAAACCCTTCCCACTCTTCTTCCCCCTCCCCATCCTTCCCTCACGCCCTCCATCATCCCCTGACTCATCATCCTCTAGCTCCTCATCCGGGACATAATCCGTGTCCTCGCCACGCCTTTCGCCCTTCGCCCCTGCGGTGGGTTCCGGGATCCGGTTCCTCTCCCACCCCTCGTCGTCCATACTGAACTCCCGGTGCCACACGCCTTCCCACTCGTTGCTGCCGGCGTTGATGGAGCCAAGGGCAAAGCTCTGAGGCAAGGGCAACGCTCTGAGGCCCTCCGGCGACAGGCACAAGGGCAAGGGACATCCCAGGCAGTGCCGCACTTTCAGCGCCCGTATGCTGCGACCCGCCGCCCATGCTATGTCCCGCTACTCCGCCTTCTCCCCCCTCAGTCCGCCCTCTGCCGTTGTTGTTGGAACCGCCGCCGTCCATGTCGCCTCCTCAACCCTAAACCCTAATCGGCCCAATGTCCACTCGCGGTAAAAGGTCTGGATGGCTGCACTACAACCGTACTTGTGAAAGACTAAAACGTTCGCTCCCTTACTGGCCTACTTGCGAAATTTCAAACACCAGCGAAATGCGGCCCGTTCCACCCTAGAAACTAACTTCCTTCCCTCAGTAGCCTTTAGTTTCTGCCTAAGGATGAGAAGGACCGGCTTAAAATACAAAACTAACCGTTAGGAAACCCTGTTTGCTAGATAGGACGGAGCCATAGTCTAGGTCGAGACTGAACAAACAACTTTCTGGTTGAAATTTCAACCTTTTGGTCGAAATTTTGCCATCTCTGCGGCTGGTCGCAAAAATCGCGACGGGTACAGTCGCGACCCGACATCGGGTCGGGTCGGGTCGGGTCAACCCGACGACAAATACCCGACGTCGGGTCGGGTCAACCCGACATGTCGGGTTGAACCCGAACCCGGGGATGTCGGGTTCGGGTTGACCCGACCCGTCCGGGAAAAATCAAACCCGACGGGTCGGGTTCTTCCTACGGGAACTTGAACCCGACCCGTAAAAAAATCGGGTTCAGGTCGGGTTACCCGACCCGACCCGACCCGTTGCTCAAGCCTAGTTTAGCATCTCCTATGTGCATCTCCTGTCAGTCTACCACTCGCGCTCCCATGCCCGCCGTCGCTCCTCTCTCTTCCTCTGCCTGCTCGCTCTGCCCAACCTTTCTGTGTCTTTCCCTCCCTCCCCATCCCACACCCTCAGTTTGGCACTCGTGCTCTTGAGGCTGCCGTTACTTGCTCCTCTCTCCTCCTCTGCCTGCTCGCCCTGCCCGACCTTTCTGTGTCTTTCCTTCGTTATTTACCCCTCCCTCCCCATCCCCCCCTTTCAGTTTGGCATGTGTTCTGTTTTTTAGAAATCTCAGAAACAGAAACCTTCCTCCGCCTCCTCTGCCCCACCTCCCTCTGCTGGCGCTGCCTGCACTCTCTCCGTCCCCACCTTTGGATGGACCCCCGCTCCTCGGCCCCTTCCCATTCGGGCTCCCATGGATCTTTTCTCAAATGTTCCTCTCTCCCCCTCCCTCTCTCCCCTCCCTCTCTCCGCCTCCCTCTCTCCCCCTCCCTCTCTCCCCCCTCCCCCTCCCTCTCTCCCCTCCCTCTCTCCCCCTCCCTCTCTCCCCCTCCCTCTCTCCCCCTCCCTCTCTCCCCCTCCCTCTCTCCCCCTCCCTCTCTCCCCCTCCCTCTCTCCCCCTCCCTCTCTCCCCCTCCCTCTCTCCCCCACCCTCTCTCCCCCTCCCTCTCTCCCCCTCTCCCTCTACCCCTCCGTGTCCACACCCTCAGTTTGGCACGCATGCTCCCGTGCCTGCCGTCGCGCCTCCCTCTTCCTCTGTCTCCTCTGCCCCACCTCCTTCTGCTGGTGCTGCCTGCGCGCCCTCCGCCCCCACCCCTGGATGTACCCCGCCTCCTCTGCCCCTTCCCATTCCGGCTCCCCTGGGTCTTTTTAAAATGTCCCCCTCTCCCCCTCCCTCTTCCCCCCTCCCTCCTCCTCCCCTTTCAGTTTGGCATTCTTGCTCCCGTGCCTATCGGCGCGCATCCCTCTTCCTTCGTCTCCCCTGCCCCACCTCCCTCTGCTGGCGCTGCTTTTGCTCCTTCCTCCCCTACATCTGGCTCGATCCGACCTCTTTTGCCCGAGTGGAAAGAATCTGGACCTGGCCCCCATGGGACTGGTTTTCTTGCGCCCATGGGTCTTCTAATTTGTCCCTCACTCTCTCCCCTCCTCTCTCCCCTCCTCTCTCCCCGCCTCTCTCCCCTCCTCTCTCTTTGCCACCCTCCCTGTTCCACATCCTCAGTTTGGCATTCTTGTTCCCGTGCCTGCCGGCGCTCTTCCGTCTTCCTCTGCCTCCTCTGCCCCACCTCCCTCTGCTGGCGCTGCCTTCGCTCCCTCCGCCCCTACATCTGGCTGGACCCCGCCTCATCTGCCCGAGTGGAAAAAATCTGGACCTCGCATTTTTTCCGGGCAGCTCAGTTTGCTGCCCGACTCGCTTCAGGCAGGGTTTTGGATGCGGAAAAAGGGAAGGGGAGGAGGAGGAGTGGGGAGGGGAGTGGACGTGAAGGGGTGGGGAGACAGGGGCAGGATAAGGAGGAGAGGGAGAGCAAAGAGGCGAGGGAGGGTGTGGAGGAGAAGGGGAAGGAAGAGGAGGGGGAGAATAAGGAGAAAGCAGGGAGGGAGGAAGGAAGGGGTCATGAGGGGGAAAAGGAGGAGAGAGGGAGTGACGAGGAAGGAGACTGTGCAAAGGAGAGGGAACGTGAGAAGGAGAATGGGAGTCTGGAGGGTGGCCCGGGTGGGAGTATTTGGTGGGGCAGGGAAGGCGAGGAGAAGGTAGAAGGGGGTATGGGATCGAGGTTGGAGCAGCTTCAGGAGGGAGGGAAAAAGGTCTTGGGACTATGCGGCGCATGCTATGTCAAGATGGCCATGATTCAACACGGCTTCGAGACAACCCCGACGGGAGTGAGTGCTGCTTTGTTGTGGTGTACGTTTGTCACGGGTGCCAAGCATGCATCACAAGCATGCATCACAAGCATTCCGCGTGCAGGTTTCGATGAACGTCTTCCTTTTCCTTTTCCTTGTGCAGGTCTTCCTTTTCCTCGGCTTGTTTGTCCGGCGTGTAGAGTGTCATTGGATATTAATGATATCAACTCCCCCGGCCCGGGGGTTGCTTCGAGGACTATCACTCGGTGAGGCGCGGTTGGCATTGGGTGAGGGTCAGTCACTCGTCTCTCCCCCCATTGTGTTTCCCCTGCAGGCTATTCTCAACATGGATGATGTTGACTCTCCTGCTTGGTACTTCAAGGACTATCACTCGGTGATGCGCGATCACGGTAGACTGGTGATCGATGTGGGGGAGGCTCCAGATGACTGGGGGTCTTTGAAGGATTTGTGGTGGTGGGGGAATGAGCTCGGGATGATGGATGTGGGGGATGATGAGGGCGAGGGAGAAGGGGGAAGAGAGGACGAGGAAGGAGTGGGGGAGGTGGGGGAAGAAGAGGAGGAAGAAGAGGAGGAAGAAGAGGAGGAAGAAAGGGAGGAAGAAGGGGAGGAAGAGGTAGAAGAGGAGGATTATGAGGACGAGGGAGAAGGAGGAGAAGGGGAGGAGGAGGAGGAGGAAGATGTGGAAGGTGAGAGCCAAGTGGAGTTCAGGGAAGTGAGTGAGAGTGCGAGTGAGGGGGAAGATATTCCGATCTCTAGAAAGTATAACGTGGTATCAGGGCTGCATCGGACTGGCCTGGAAGCTCAAAAGACGCCTTGTTGCAACCTCGTGCGGCACTCTTTGCGCGATGAGACAGGGAAGTTTGCGAGCCAGCTGGGTTTTGAGTCAACTCAAGGTGAGAGAGGGAAGCTTGCGAGCCCTTCTGGCGATGGTGAAGTGGGGAGGCTCTCGGACATTGATAGAGGAGGCAGGCGGGGAGGAGCAGAGAGAGGAGGAGGAGGAGGTAGGGGAGGAGGTAGGGGAGGAGGGAGGGGAGGAGGGAGGAGAAGAGGGATGGGAGGAGGGAGAAGAGGAGGGAGGGGAGGAAGGAGGGGAGGAGGAAGGGGAAGAGGGAGGGGAGGAGGGAGGGGAGGACGGCGGGGAGGGCGACAAGGTCATTGGGTTAATGGTGATGTTGACTGGTTTCCTATTGGAAAGGAAGGAGAGCATTGTGCTTATAAAGGAAGAGGAGGTGATTCTTTCGGAAAGGAAGGAGATGCTTCACTAGGAAGAGAGAAAGGGAGTAAACAGGGGAGAGGAGCGGCAAGCAGCGGGAGAGGGTGGGGGAGGGGAGTGGGGAGAGGGGGGTGGAGAGGAGGGGGAAGAGGGAGGGGGGGCAGAGGAGGGAGAGAAGGGGGGTATGGAGGGGGGAGGGCATGGGGAGGGGGCAGGGGAGGTGGGGATAGGAGAGGGAGGAGAGGAGGGGAAAGAGGGGGAGGAAGAGGAGGAGGTGGAGGTGGTCGTGGGTGGGGAGAGGGGGAGGAGGAAGAGGATGGGGATGAAATATATGAGGAAGAGGAGGAGGAAGAAGAGGAGGAGGAGGTAGGGGAGGGAGAGGGGGCGGAGAAGGAGGTTGGGTGTGGAGAACAAAGAAGTGATGGTGCTACGGATGGTGATGGGCATGGGCATGGGCATGGGCATGGTCATGGGCATGTGCATGGGCATGGGCATGGGCATGGGCATGGGCATGGGCATGGGCATGTGCATGGGCATGTGCATGGGCATGTGCATGTGCATGCTCATGGTGCTGATGATGGTGATGAGGAAAACGACGATGGGGCAGCAGTGGAGGGGGTCCCATACGCGGCCATCAACGACCGCAACCTCTCCCAGATCTACCTCAGGCGAAGGCACCTGGAAGTTGCAGAGAGGCTGGGGGTCGAGAGGGCGGCGGAGCAGGGGGGCAGCTTGGAGAAGAGTGCAGAGGCTCTGAGGGGGATGCTGGTGGGGGGGCTTGCGAGGCTGCGGTGTCCGGACGTGTTTGGACTGGTCAACGTGTCTGGATATAAGCTGGTGCTCGTTACAAGTAAGTTGCCTGGTGGTTGTTACTGTTGAGGCAACTCAAAGCACAGGGAGTCTAGTTTTGAGGCGCCTCAAAACTGTTACTGTTGGAGGGCCACAGGGATCGTCCCGCAGTTAAGTGTGGGAGGGCTACAGGTCCGTCTTAGGGGGTAATGGGTGCGTTATCCACCATACAAACATGCCCTTTTAAACCAGTCGGTAGTGGGCTGGGCCAATGGTGGTATCAGAGCTAGAGGTCTCGGGTTTGAATCCCAGTGTGCACCAAGTGAGTGGCAGGTGCCCTAACGAACCCCAGGGAGGGGGAGACGACCCCAGGGAGGGGGAGACGACTCCAGTGAGGGGGAGATTGTTGGAGGGGCACAGGGATCGTCCCTCTTTTGAGTGTGGGAGGGCTACAGGTCCGTCTTGGGGGGATAATAGGTGCGCTATCCGCCACACAAACATGTTTTTTTAACCCAGTCGGTAGTTGGCTTGTGCTCGTGGCTTGCTCAGCGGCAGGTTCCGAACATGTTTGGGGGCTGGTCAACGTGTCAGAATATAAGCTCGTGCTCCGAGCTCGTTTTGAGGCGCCTCAAAACTAGACTGAGCACCCTGACCTTGTCGTGTCAGGCATGTCACATTCACTTCACTGTTCCCCAGCTCAGAATCGGCTTTCCAGGAACTTTCCCCCGTGTGTTTTCTTGGTTCTTTCACTTTACCTTGCATGTGCACATGCCCTAAACACCTGTCCAATCCGTCCCTTCGAATTGCTTGCACAGACATTGAGTATTTCACCTCAGCGGCCCACGCCAGTTCTGACTTCGGTCCTCCGGGTTTCAACATAGCCCAGCAGCAGCACATGCTTGTGGTGACAGTCTTGGATGGGCGAAAAAACCGCCTGGAGAGGTGCCGTGTGGCCGAGTTCTCAGACGGGGTGTTCAGAGGTCCAGAGGTGGAGGAGGTGCGGGAGCTGGTGAGGCGGGGGTCTCTTCCCCCCTTCTATATGGTGAGTTTGTTGCTACTGTTCATGCAAGAGCCTCTCTTTACTGGGGTTTTCAGAGGTCCAGAGGTCCAGAGGTGGAGGAGGTGCGGGAGCTGGTCAGAAGAGGGTCGCTGCCTGCCTTCTATATGGCGAGTGTTTCAGATTGGGTCAGCCAGTGAGCAGCAGCAGCACATGCTGCTGGTGACTGTCTTGGAAAGGTGCAAGAACAGCCTGGAGAGGTGCTGCATGGCCGAGCTGAGTTTCCGGATAGGTGTTCAGAGATCCAGAGGTGGAGGAGGTGTGGGAGCTGGTCAGAAGAGGATCATTGCCTCCGTTTTTCATGGTGACCTTCCTTCTGCTCAGGAGAAAATCTGTGATTTTTTCCCGCAGCAGCAACACCAGCAGCAGCAGCAGCAGCAGCACAAGCTGGGGGAGCAGGTTTGTGGCCGAGGCACATCTTCTTTGAGACACACAGGCGGTGCGTGCAGCATGTGCCAAGATACCTATGCAACCATGCTGAGGCCATTTGTCCTGTGATGTCACAGTACTGCACCCTTTGCCTCTCTGCAGGACCAGTTGGAGCAGCAGGTGCACCGGCTGCGGCCCATCTTCACGTGCCTCCCTCCCTCTCTCCCTCCCTCCCTTCCTCCCTCCCTCCCTCCCTCCCTCCCTCCCTCCCTTCTTCCCTCCCTCCCTCCCTCCCTCCCTCCCTCCCTTCCTTCCTCCCTCCCTTCCTCCCTCCTCCCTCCCTCCCTCCCTCCCTCCCTCCCTCCCTTCCTCCCTCCCTCCCTCCCTTCCTCCCTCCCTCCCTCCCTCCCTTCCTCCCTCCCTCCCTCCCTCCCTCCCTCCCTCCCTCCCTCCCTCCCTCCCTCCCTCCCTCCCTCCCTCCCTCCCTCCCTCCCTCCCTCCCTCCCTCCCTCCCTCCCTCCCTCCCTCCCTCCCTCCCTCCCTCCCTCCCTCCCTCCCTCCCTCCCTTCCTCCCTCCTTCCTCCCTTCCCTTCGCCCCCCGCCCCCCTCCACAGGACAAGCTGGAGGAGCATGTGCACCAGCTGAGGCACATCTTCCTGTAGACGCATGGTGTGGGCACGACGTGCCAAGATGCCCTATGCTATCATGCCACTTCCCCCTTATCCGGTGGTGTCACCTTTTCCCTTTGCTCTCCGCAGGACAAGCTGGAGGAGCATGTGCACCAGCTGAGGCGAATCTTCTTCGAGACGGTGAGGATCCATCTCTGTGAGGGGTTTGGTGTGCCTAACATTCCAAGAGATTCTGCCACACAGGCACGGAGTTTATTTGTTGTTCTTCTTTGTTGTTATTGATTTCTTTTCTTCTTCTTTTTTTGCATATGTTGGCACTGTCTGTCGGTTTGTGTGTCTCTTCGTCCTTCTGCTCTCTCTACCCTTGCAGTAGTTGCAGTGCGTGAAGACGTGCACTTCTCTCTCTTCCTCAATTCGCCAGTTCTCTCTCTCCCTTCCCCTCTGTGTCCCTGCAGGAGGTTCAGCAGACCCTAGAGTTGAGCCATTCCAATGTGTGGCTCTCCTTATGCACTTGTTAGTGGGTATTCCACGTCTTCTCATAGTCTTCTCCCGCCCTTCCTCTCTGTGTCCTTGCAGGAGCACCAGCAGATCCTAGAGAGAGTGCAGCAGCGTTTTTCCTCTTGCACTCTTCACACAAACTCCCCTTCTTCTCACTTTGTTTCCCTCCTCCCTTCCCCGTCCCCGCCCTTCCCCGCCCTTCCCCGCCCTTCCCCTCCCTTCCCCTCGTTTCCTCTTTTTGGTCCTGCAGGAGCACCAGCAGACCCTTGAGCGAGTTGAGCAGCTGAAGAGAGCCAAGAAATATCCGCTCAACTGCATGCATTGCACTCTTTTCACGTTTCCCAATGCTGTCTCTTCTCCCGTTATCTCCATTTTCCTGCAGGAGTACCAGCAAACCCTTGAGCGAGTTCAGCAGCTGAAGAACGCCAAAAAATATCCCCTCATGCGCCCCTCGTGCAATTTCCTGGCACTCATCACACTCCTTTCATACTATCATCACGCGTTCACTCGCTCCCCTCTCGCTTTTGACATTTTTTCTCTGTCCTTCCGTCGCATTTTGCTCGCCTACCAGTCCGCTGGTTTATTTTTTCACTGAGATCTAGTCCCTTTGTCCTTCCATCTCTGTCTTGCTCTGCTTCTTCTTCGCTTCTTTGTGCTCGCTGCTGTTTCTCCTTAACCACTCCCGCACCTCCTCCCTCCTTTCCCTTCTTTTCTCCGTCGCTGTCCTTTCCCCCCTCCCCTTTCATTCCCCTTTGCCAATCCCCCCTCCCCCCTCCCCCCTTCTTATTCTCTCCATCCTTCCTCTCCCCTCCCCTGCCTACTCTTACTGCCCTCCTTCCCGTTTGTCCTCAACCATCGGTGTCCCAATCCGTCCTTTGTCCCTGTCACTTTGCCTGTTTGCCACTGTCTGTTATTTTCTCCCTTTCGCTTCTGCGCTGCCCGTCCCGCTTCCCCCTCACCACATATGTGGAGTCTCATCGCCTCCTCATGGACATCAGGCATCCGGACTACCGCCCCTCCTTCCTCAACCGCCCCGTGCTATTAGATGCCGATACTGATGGAACCTCCGCCCCCAGAAACCCACCTTCGCATCCTTCTCTTCCCATTCCTTCTCATCTTCCCCCCTCGCATTCCTCTCTCTCCCCTCCCGCCCACCCCCTACCTTCGCATCCTTCTCTTTCCACTCCCGCCCATCCCCCTCCCTCGCATTCCTCTCTCTCCCCTCCTGCCCACCCCCAACCTCCGCATCCTTCGCTTTTCACTCCCGCCCATCCCCCTCCCTCCCGTTCCTCCCTTTCCTCTCCTGGACCTTCCCCTCGCTCCCATCCCTCTTCCGCCCATCCTTCGTCCACCCGTGCCCCTATCTCCCACCCCCCTTCCGCCCACCCCCCTTCCTCCCAGCCCCCCCCTTCGGCACACGCCCCCTACCCACATTCTCCTTTCCCCCATGTCCCACTAATCAGCAATCCCCTTCCCCAGATGCACCCTCACCAAATGCCTTCTCCCCGTGTGCACCCTCCTCACCCATACCCCCCACCTGGCCCTCCCCCTCCACAACCCCACCCCGCCGCCAACCACCCTCCACTCGCCACCCAACCTCCTCCCTTCCATTCATCCACCTACCATTCCCCACATGCCTCCTCGCCTCCTCATATTGCCATACCTCCATCTACATTCTCTCTTCCTCCTCCTCTTCCTCCTCCTCCTCCTCCTCCCCCGCCAGGAGTCTTTGTCCCTACACCTAATGCCAGTAGAGCCCCGGCCTTTGACGTGCCTCACGAGCAGGCCTCGCCGCCCCCAGGAGTCCCAGCCTTTGAGGCGCCTCCCCCTTCTCTTGCCACACTTCGTGCCAACAGAGCCCCAGCATTTGAGGTGCCTCACCGGCAGACTACTCCCCCCCCAGGGGTCTCTGTCGTGGCGCCTCATTGGCCGAGGCACACCACCGATCCGTCTCCAAATTCCCGTCCTCCTGTCAACCTGCCTCCTCCTCCCCCGGGAATCCCACCCCCACATGCGGTTATTGTTTCTCCTGCTCCTGCTCCTGCTCCTGCTTCTGTTCCTGCTCCTGCCACTCGATCTGTTGATGCTGGTGCGGCTGCAGGTGATGGCACTACTGCTGCTCCTGCTGCTGCTGCTGCAGCAGCTGCGACTGCTGGTGGTGCTCGGGATGCTGATATGAGTGCAAGCAACAGCCAGCAGCAGCAGCAGCAGCAGCAGCAGCAGCAGCAGTCGGGGCATGGAGAGACCTCAGACAGGGGAAGCACTCACGATAGGAAGCGGGAGAGGGAAGGGGGGGAGAGGGATGATGGGGTGAGTGGGAGAGACGGGAAGCGAAGGAGAGAAAGGGAGAGTTTGGGTGAGGAAGAAAGAGTGAGGTATGAGGAGAGGGGGAGGTATGAGGAGACAGGGAGGGAGAGAGTTGGGGAGAGGGGAAGAGATATGGCTTGGAGGCGAGATGACGACAGGGAGAGGGAGAGGGTTGAAGAATTTATACGAGAAAGGGAGAGGGAGAGGGAGATAGAGAGAGTGAGGGTTGAAGAGTACATACGAGAGAGGGAGAGGGACAGGCAGAGATCAAGGAAGAGGCAGAGGGATAGAGAACGGTGGAGGGAAAGGGAGAGGGGCATAGAACGGTCGAGGGAAAGGGAGAGGGGTAGAGAAAGAGAAGCCTATATGGAGAGGGACAGAGGAAGTGGCAGGGATGTGGGGAGGGGAAGGGAGCGAAGCAGTGAGAGGGAAACAGAGAGTCGTCGAGATAGGAGCAAGGAGAGGAGGGAAGGTGGGAGTAAAGAGGGGAGGGAAGGTGGAAGCAAGGAGAGGAGGGATGTTGGGAGCAGGGATAAGGACAAGCAAGGGGTTGAGAATGCTCAGAAGCAAATAGTTCCCGATGCCCCTTCTGCAGCTGCTACCGCTCCAGTTGTTACCCCCCCAGTTGCTCCCGCCCCAGTTGCTCCCGCCCCAGTTGCTACTGCTGCAGCCGCTCTTACCCCAGATGCTGTGTCTCTTGTAGCGCCTCAAAGACTGGGAGTGGAGAATGGTTCAAAGGAAGTTGTTGCCGGTGCCCCACGTGCAGCTTCTTCCACTGCAGTTGCTCCCACTTCAACTGCCCCGGCTGCTACCCCTGCTCCTCTTGCCTCGTCTTCCCTGGTTGCTTCTGCTACCCATGCCACCCTCACTCTGTCTGCTCCCGCTACTCTCGTTCCCACTGCCCCTGATGCTCTCTCTCCCACTGCTCCAGCTTCCCCTGCTACCCCTACCACTCTTGCTCTGTCTGCTCCTGCTACTCTCGTCCCCACTGCCCCTGACCCTCTGTCTCCCGCTCCCCCTGCCACCATCACCCCTATCGAGGTTCCGGTCGCTGCTCCCCCTGCTGCCCCTACCGCTTCTGCTCTCCCTGCTCCTCCCGCTCCTCTCGTTCCCGCTGCTCCTGCGACCATCACCCCTATCGATGTGCCAGTCACCGTCCTGTGCCAACCGTGGTGGTGCTACAGGGATCCCAGGGGTCGCATCCAGGGTCCATACTCCCTTGCTGATCTGTACCAGTGGGAAGCGCACAGGGGGTTTAGGGATACCCTGGTGTGGAATGCGAGGGACGCTGCTGCTGCTGCTGCTGCTGCTGGTGCTGGTGGTGCTGGTGCTGGTGGTGCTGCTGCTGCGGTTGTTGCTGACCGAATGGGGTCTCTTTTGGACGAGTGGAGGCTTGTGAAACTAGCAGCAGAGCAGCAGGTAGCAGCAGGGCAACAATTAGCAGCTGGGCAGCAGGTAGCAGCAGGCCAACAATTGGCAGCTGGGCAGCAGTTAGCAGCAGAGCAGCATGTAGTAGCTGGGCAGCAATTATCGACAGATGTGAGATCAGCAGTCGAAGGGGAGCAACTTTCAGCAGGGGAAAGATCAGGTGCAGACGAGCATACCCTGTATAGCAATCCTCAAAGCAACCGTGGAGCTGGTGGTGATGCGCTGTTGCTAGTTGACATGCCACGAGAGACCAGTGGTGTAATGACAGCGGCGGCAGCAGCAACAGCTGAAGCATCAGTGGCGAAAGCAAAAGCAGAAGCAGAAGCGGAAGCAGAAGCAGAAGCGGAAGCAGAAGCAGAAGCAGAAGAAAAAGCAGCAGCAGCAGCAGCAACAGCAGGTGTAGGGGAAGCAGCAACAGACACAGCAACACCAACAGAAGCTGCAAAAACAGCAACACAAGCAGAAGGAGCAGCAGCAGAAGCAGCAAGGGGAAGAGCAGCCAATGCAGCAAGGCGAACGGGATTAACGATTGTCGCACGGGGAGAGGAACGAAGAGTGGTACAGACGGCTGCTACGCCAGCAGCAGCAAGAGGAGCAGGAGAAGCGGCTACAGACACAACGGCTACAGACGCAGCAGCTACAGACACAGCAGCAGCAGCCGCAAGGGAAACAGCAGCAAGGCAACTGGGGTTAACGATCGTTGCGTGGGGAGAGGAAAGAGAAGTGGTGGCTGCTATACCGGAGGCAGCAATGGCAGCTGTGGCAGCAACATCATCATCAGCTGCTGCTGCTGCTGCTGCTGCTGCCTGTGCAGCTGGCGTTGCTGCTGCTGGTGGTGCAGTGTCGGCTCGAACTGCGGGTGAAGCAGCAGCAGGAGGAGCAGCACCCGTGGCACAAGTGGCAGCATTGCGCGATGGAGAAGCAGCAGCAGCAGCAGCAGCAGCACATGCAGAGTTACAATATGTGGCAGCAGCAGTACCAGCAGAACCCACAGCAGTTTCAGGTGTTGATGGTATGAGCATGGATATGAGCACAGACATGGCCCTCGATGGGGATGGCGATGGGGTTAATGGTACTGGTAGTGTGATTGCTACTGATAGTCCCAATGCAGCTCCTGCAGGAGAGGCGGGTGTGAATGCTGATCATGCCTCTGATGCATCTCAGCTGTTGGTTTGGCGAGGAATCGAGGGTGGAGATGCGGCTGCAGCAGCGGCAACTGATGGTGGTGCTCTTGGTGCCGCTGCCGCTGATGATGGTTGGGACTACAATGGTGATGACGTGGACTATGGTGATAATGACGCAAGTGACTATGGGGAAAGTGAGGATGACGATGATAGTGACGGGGATTCGCTAGGTTCTTTGGAGCTGAAGCTGGGGATTCGGAGGAGGATGGAGGAGAGGGCGGTCGCTGGGGCTGGGAATGGGGCTGGGAGTGGTGCTGGCTGTGGGGTTGGGGGTGGGGCTGAGCGTGTGGCTGGGGTTGGGGGTGGGGCTGTCGGGGAATCGCAGCACTCTTTAGAGCTCAATTGGGGGATACAGAGGAGGATGGAGGAGAGGGCAGCAGAGGCGGTCGCTGGGGCTGGGGGTGGGGCTGGGGATGGGGATGGGGGTGGGGGCGACAGGGATTCGCAGCACTATTTAGAGCTGACCTTGGGGATACGGAGGAGGAGGGAGGAGAGGGCCGTTGGGGCGGTGGGTGACGCTGAGGGCGGGGCGTTGGCTGGGAGCAGGGGTGGGGGAGAGGGTGGCAACACGGGGAAAGGAGTGGGGGGCGAAGTTAGTGGGGGTGATGGGTTGGGGGAGCGTGGGGGGCCTGGAGCAGCAGGGGTGCAAGGAGAAACTGGAGAAAAAGTGGGAGAGGCAGGCGGGGGAGTGGGACAGGCGGGAGGGGGAGTGGGTGGCGGAGAATTCGGAAATAGGGAGCAAGGAAGAAGAGGTGAGGTGCGAGTGGCAGGAGGTGAGGAGGAGATAGGGAGCAGGAAGCCCGTTTCAGGGTCCGATTTAGGGTCCAAGGTGAGCGAAGATCCATCTAGAGCAAGAACAGGGGAAGGTACACCTACTGGGAGATCAGGTGAAGGTACACCCAGAGCACCAACTGGGGAAGGTGTGAAACGACAAGCTGCGGATTCGGACGTGGGAAGGCAGGGGAGGAGACGACGTGAGGACAGCTCGGATCGAACAGATTTAGAGAGGAGAGAGGGGCACGGGCGAAGTTGCAGCGACAGACGTAGGGGTAGGAGCAGTAGGAGCAGGAGCAGGAGTAGGAGCAGGAGCAGGGATAGGCACAGGAGCAGGAGTAGGGATAGAGGTAGAAACAGGAAGAGGAGCAGAGACGGGGGAAGGGGGAGCAGCAGGAGCAGGAGCAGAAGCAGAAGCAGAAGCAGAGGGAGGAGGAGAGGAAGAGAGAGGGGCAGCAGAAGTAGGAGCAGGGAGAGGAGAGAGAGGAGGGAGAGGAGAGGGGGGAGGGACAGGGAAGAGGAGAGAGGGGGTTGCGATTGGAGGGGCAGAGAGACAGAGAGGGGAGTAATGGGAAGGTGGGGGGAGAGGGTGGAAGGTGGAGGGAGGGGGAGTGGGGGGAGAGCACGGATGGCGGAATATTGTACCTTCCAAGAAAGGAAGAGGTTTTTCAGCTTTCGGGCGCAGCCTGGTGGTGATGGTGGCGTTGGGACGCACCCAGGTGGTAATGGTGGGGGAGAGGAGGGATCGCCGGGGTTTTTGCATAGTGAGGAGCATGGGCATGGGAGAGGGTATGGCGTTCAAGGACAGACTGCTGGTGTTGGTGGGGGAGAGGAGGGACCTCCTGGGTTTGTGCTTAGTGAGGAGCATGGGCGTGAGAGAAGGTACGGCGTTCAAGCACAGGCTAGTGGTGTTGGTGGGGGAGAGGAGGGGCCTCCTGGGTTTGGGCATGGGCCAGAAGCGAAAGGGCTGGGGGGAGTAGCAGCAGGGCCAGAAGCACGAGGAGGCGAAGGCTGGAAGGAGGGGAGGGAAGGAGAAGGGCGAGGGCGACGGAAATGGCAAGGGAAGAGGCTAGAGGAAGGGCAAGAGCGTTTGCAGAAAGAAGGGGGGGCAGCACTAGCAGGTGCAGGGAGTTGGGGGGGAGGGCGGGGTGGTGGAGGTACGGAAGGAGGAGACGAACGAGGCAGGAGCGAAGGGCCACTGGAAGCCCACGAGCGCTGGCACGAGGGATGGGGAACGGTACCAGTAGGTGTAAGGAGTTGGGGAGGAGAGGGGGAAGGCGGAGGGAATCAGGGAGGGGTAGGGACATGGGATTGGGGAGAAGGGGGAAGTGGAGGTGGTTGGGGGGGAGAGGGATGGGGAGGAGGGGGAGGAGAGGGATGGGGAGGAGGGGGAGGACAGGGGTGCGGAGGAGGGGGAGGACAGGGGTGGGGAGGAGGGGGGGGACAAGAGTGGGGAGGAGGGGGAGGACAGGGGTGGGGAGGAGGGGGAGGACAGGGGTGGGGAGGAGGGGGAGGACAGGGGTGGGGAGGAGGGGGAGGACAGGGGTGGGGAGGAGGGGGAGCACAGGGGTGGGGAGGAGGGGGAGACAGGGGGGGGGAGGGGGAGGACAGGGGTGGGGAGGAGGGGGAGGACAAGAGTGGGGAGGAGGGGGAGGACAGGGGTGGGGTTCAGACGCAGGGGGGAGTGAAGGAGGGGGAGCATGGGGATGCAGTGTGAAGGAGGAGGAGGAGACCAACCCCTGGGATGGCTTTCAAGGGTGGGGGAGAGGCAGGGCCGAGAGTGTCTCTGAGGGGGGGGCTGAAGTGGGCGGGGGAGGAGGAAGAGCAGGTGGGGTGGCCAGGGGAATAGGAGGAAGAGGAGAAAGAAGAGGGAGAAGGGAACGAGAAGGGAGCAGAGGGGGAAGAGGAGAAAGAGGAGGGAGACGAGGGGGCAGAGGAGGAAGAGGAAGATTGGGAGGTCGAGGAGGAACAGGAGGTGGAGAAAGGGAGCAGTGGACATAGAGGAGGCAGACAGAAGGGGAGGTTTAGGAGCGGACATTGGGGCATAGAAGGTCGGGAAGGATTAGCAGGTAGAAGGGGGGGGGGGGGGGGGGGAGAGAGTGGGAGATCTTGAAATAGAGGAACAGGAGGTGGAGAAAGAGAGCAGTGGATATGGAGAAGGCAGACAGGAGAGTAGGTATAGGAGGGGACATCGGGACATAAAAGGTCAGGAGCAGCAGGTAGAGGGGGAAGAGGAAGGTCGAAGTGGAGAAAGAGAGCAGTGGATACGGAGGAGGCAGATGGAAGAGGAGGTATAGGACGAAGAATCGGGAGTTGGGACGTAGAAGGCCAGGAGTAGCAGCAGATGAAGGAGGAAGAGGAGGATTGGGAGCAGGCCTAACGATTGGTTTTAGGGTACCCAGGCTCCAAAAAAAATAATTCAAAAAATCGTCAGCCTCAAGAAAATTTACGCTGATTCATCAGTGTTTCCTAGCAAAAGTTCGCTCTTCCATCAGGGTCGTGTACTAAAAAAACAATGATTTGGCAACAAGGAGAGAGGATTTCACTTTTTAAAAGTTGCATTCGACTAAGAGTAAATTCCGCATTCTAATAAGAGTCGTCCCTACTAGGCGAAATTCTCGACACCTGCCCGTTTGGTCAACTGAAAGTCTATCAAAATGTGACGGTCACGATCGATTGCGAGTGTTTCGACATTTTTCAACCATTCGATGGTCGCAAGTGATTAACGTCCACGATCGCCCAACCGGGGCGCTGCAAGGGCGCGAAGTTTCTCCCACTACCCAATTCCACAGCTTCCCGCCTCCCCTCCGTTTCGATCCTCCCCCCTCCCTCTCCATTTTCGAATTCCCCCCCCTCCCCCTCCGTTTCGCTCCCCCCCCCCCCCCCCCCCCCCCCCCCCCCCCCTCCGTTTCGCTTCCCCGCCTCCCTCCCGTTTCGATCCCCCCCCTTCCCCTCCGTTTCGATTGTTAAATTATATGTTTGTTATATATAGTTGTAGGCTTGGTAGCTGTTACCGAAATCTCCTTGTATCCCTCTCTTTTCTATTCTCTCTCTCTCTTCTCTCGTAACTTTCTCTCACAGCTAAACCCTTTCGTCCCGGCCATGGCTGCCTAGCCGCCTATCATTTCGTTGACTTCGTAACATGGTACCAGAGCAGGATCATCCTGCTGGACCGTCGTCTCTCGCTTCCGCTGCGTACTTCCTCTCGTCCTGCCGCGTCTGCATGGCGTCCTCGTCGCGCTGCTGTGACAGCGCCGCCGTCCTGCCATGGCGACGGACGGCTGTGGCCAGGGCGCTGGTTTAGCGCCGGCCAGCACTCCCGCATGCAGCCAGCGTGCCACATGGGGCGGTTCGCTTCGTGTCTCCGCTGCTGAAACCCCGCCCCCGCGTCCCCTCGTCCTTGCCGCAGCTGACGGCCGACTCGCGGCTGGATCCTCCCACTGTCTCGATGGTCGGCCACGCCGCCGAGTGGTGCGGGCTATGCCGCCGCCGCCGCTGTTGTCGGAGCCGCCGCCACTGCCACTGTTGCCGCTGACCCGTTTGCCACCGCACACCGCCACCGCCGCTGCTGTCGTCACTGCCGCCGCTGCCGCTGTTGCCACCGCAGCCCTCGACGCGGGCATTGCCGCCTCGCACGTGGAGAGGTCAGCCGCGCTGACGACCGTCGCTCCTGTTGCAGGGCATGTGCAAGGGTGTGGGGGTGCTGCTTGTTGGGTGGGCTTGCCGCTACCAAGCCTAGGGGGTGTGTTAAATTATATGTTTGTTATATATAATTGTAGGCTTGGTAGCTGTTGGTGAAACCTACTGTAGAGGGTACAACCGCCTCCTTGTATCCCTCTCTTTTCTATTCTCTCTCTCTTTTTTGTCTCGTATCTTTCTCTCCTAGCTTAACCCTTTCGTCCCGGCCATGGCTGCCTAGCCGCCTATCATTTCGTTGACTTCGTAACATCGATCCCCCCCCTCCCCCTCCGTTTCGCTTCCCCCCTCCCCTCGGTTTTGATTCCCTCCCCCTTTCCCCCTTGGATTCGATTCCCCCTCCCCTCCTTTTCGAATCCTCCCCCTCAGGGCCTGTTCCTACGCGACACAAGGTCACGTCACTTCGTATCAAAACTGTTATTGATGGGCAAATTTGACTGGCAAAATCTCAAATGACACGAATTTGCCTTACATAGTCTCGCGTAGGAACACACCCTCAATTGAGCCGTGGACAGTGTGATTTTTTAGAGTTATTTTCGCATCATATGAGAAACCAGAAAAGAAATCATGCCAGCCAGATATAGCGAACACCCTGCCCGCTGCTCCCCGTTCTCCCTGCAATGAAATTGTCACTGCTGGAGAAGATGCGGCAATTTGGGTATGCCTACGGATGTTATTAGGCAACCCTGATCGCGTTCTGTGCACCCTGAGGATTCCAGGATTTCCAATTTCCAAATATTGAAAGCATAGCCCTCAGGGTGAAAAAAAAAATGCAGTCGATGACTCAGTCATGCTAGGAATGATTTTCTCTTTACCCCTTTTAGGAACTTTGCAAAAGTCAGGTAATAATAAGGATTGCGGGTTGGGGGGGTTTGTGGGAAGTTTTTTTTTTTTTTTTTTTTTTTTTGGTTGTTTTGTTTTTGTTTTTTTTTGTTTGTTTTTGTTGTTGTTGTTTTTTTTGTTTTGTTTTGTTTTGTTTTTTTTTTTTTTTAATGGCTGCAAGGGACTTAGCCGAATTTTTCGGGCTGCGGGAGCTGAGGAAGGGATGTTTCTCGCTGTGGGGAATCAGCCTGAATTTATGGATCGCAGGAGGTGTGTGAGGAATGTGTCTGGCTGTCGAATTTCTGGGGCTACGAGGCGTGCAGGGGAGAAATGTCACTGGGTAGGAGGACTTAGCAAAAAGAAAATTGTTGCGATCTGGTGAGGCAGGGGGTTGGGGGGGAGGGGATCATGCGCCAACCAGGGGGGAAACTTTGTAACTCTCGCTAGTGTTTGTTTCGGTGTCGACCCCCGTTAGTGCGCTGAGGCATCATTGTCTACAAGAAAAAAAGGACGTTTTTTTCAACAGGGTTCAACCAGAAAATAAAACACTTTTTCAACAGGGTTCAACCATAAAAAAATGCTTTTTCATCAGGCTCAGTACAAGAAAACACCCTTATAAAAAGCATAAAAGGCGAAAAAATCCTGATATAGTGGGGCCTGATTGGGAGGTAGGGGACGAAAAAGAGGTGGAGGGAGGGGGCAGTGTGTTGAGTGACTGGGTTTCTGACTTGGTACATCAGAGCCAAAGGTCTTGGGTTCAACTCCCAGTACCAGCGCTGCAGAGGCGCTCGTGTCTTCCACCTATCCCAGCGGGGGGGGGGTGTTGAGTGACCCGCTGGGGTTGCCCTTGAGATCCTCGGGGAAGGGCCACAGGTGCAGAGCCTGGGGGGCTATGGGCGCACTTACCCGCTATTCAACAAGCCCTTTTAACCCAGTGGTTAGTGACTGGGTTTCTGACACAGTGGACATGGAGGAGGCAGATAGGGGAGGAGGTTTAGGAGGAAGGAATCAGGAAAAGGGATTAAGTGGGATTTTACAGCAGACGCTCAGGGTGGCATGGATACTACTGATCAACATTTCAGGCAAATAATGTATGAGCATGTGAATTAGCAACTAAGACATAGCAGCTTCTGGTTCCTCTCTGATGTAGGCACATCTGTTCTCTCATTGCCGAGGTGTGTGCATACATAGAAAATATGGTACGGTAAGGTGAAAGTTTGTTTGAGAGAACCAGTAGTTTTCTAGAGTTGACATTCTCAAAGTAGCAAAGTGAGTTGTGAAAATTGAGTTGTGAGTAGCAACCCACAACGAGGGGATGTGCAAGCCTGTAAGGGAGCCCGAGGGAACCGCCGGATAGGGAAGGGTGGTGGAGCTACGTGCAATTACCGGACCTAAGAAGGGGTCAGCAAGAGCGACAACTGCAGGGGCAGCAAGTGGCGTGAGCGTAGTGTGGTCGCAAAAGAAGCAGGCAAACGCACCAGAGTCCAACGGCGATAGCGGCAGCCAGAGAAGATACAAGGGTGGAGCCAAGGCTAAACAAGGCAGAAGGTCCTACGCTTGACGCAGCAGGGGAGTCGAGACTATACAGAGTGGACACACCTACACTCGGCAATACAGGGTAATAAGGTCCAGTCACACTAGTGTCATCAACATACATGGCATACAAAGCATAGCGAATTTGATTCATATCCATCTCAAAGACCGGCACATGACGCGAACGAGGCTAAGCCAGTCGGGGAGGTTGGCGCAGGCCCGAACCGGAGACGGAAGAGGTCGTCGAGGCGGCAATAGAAGCGGGCGGTAGTGTGACCGGGACGGTCACACACGGTGCCGCGACGGGGGTCGGTCTAAAGCTGGTACTCGCAAGACACCGCACTGGAGCCGCCATCCGATGCTGAGCTGCGCGAGCCACCACTGCAGCCACCACCACCAAAATCGCCTAGCCACCATGGTGGCGGGGGTCCCCACGGCTGCTGCTCCTGCGCTGGGTCATCAGCCCCAGTCACCTCGTCTACACCACCGGCACTCGTACCACCGCCGCCACCCCTGCCTCCGCAACGCCCCCCCCTGGGGCGGCAGCCCTTACCCTGACACGACCGTGCAGAGGCCGCCACGATGGTCTCAGCAGCAGGGGTTGTCTCAGCAACAGCGGCAGAAACGTCAGAGTAGGTGCACTGGGAGGGAGCACAGCCCTGGAAAATAGAGACTGCCGCAGTATCGCTAGACCGAGCGATAGTGAGTTGACGGGTCTCTATCGCAGACAGGGTGGTGACAAAGTTAGTGAGGGTAAGGTCAGCGGGGTGGAGACTAAGGAAGTGGTCGCGGGCGGTGGCGAGGCGGTCAGGAAGGCGTGTGGCAAGGAAGTAGAGGGTAGCGCCGAGGGAGGAGGCAGTACAGTGAGCTTGGCCTCAGTGCTAGCAGCGCGGTAGCTAGTCTCGAGTGCGCGCAGGTGAGTAGCAAGGTCAGCGATAGTGGAGAAGGACACGAGATCAGGAAAGAGCAGGGGGAGACGGAGACGGCATGCAGAGGCAGAGGAGGGAATGGAATAGCGCGCAATGACGGCATCTAAGTACTCCTGCGCAGTCTGTACAGCCTAAAAGCAGGGATGCTCGGACAAAGGGGGGGGGGGGGGGGGGGGGGGGGTAACTGATAATAAGTTGCACAACTGTGTCGCGCAACTCCCAGACAGAGCGGGCGAGCTCAGCAGCTGCAAAGGCCTCACGCTCAGCCAGCGTGGGGGTGTCAGGGAGGGTAGCAGGCGGGTCCGGGCAGGGGAGCTTACTGTCGACGTGGACTGCCAGGGACTGGTCGTCCTGGCGCTGACCCTTCAGCTGGCGGTGGAGGACGGCGAGGCATGCCTCAAAGTCGACCACCAGACCCTCCGTGTCCAGGCGGAGCACAGCGTCCGCCATAACCACAGCTACAGCAGCTGACGACCGCTAGAGGAGGATGAGAATGTTGGAGAGGGGTGGAGAGGGGTGGAGGGTGGTGAAGAACGGTGAAGAATAATGGAGAGTGGTGAAGAGCGGTGG